TGAAGAGCACCACTTATATAGTGCTCTCCAGGCACAAACATCACCAGGGATACAAACTTACAGAGACGCTCCGTTTTCAGCGCGACAAACACCTCGTGAGCACCAGATAGCAGCGTGAGTCAGAGTCGCTCCTGGACGGTGAGACAGACGTCGAGGACCCTCGGTCATTCGCAACGCTGTCACCTCCAAACCAACTAGTCGCAAGCCCGCGCTGGGCACAACAGTACGATCGCAACCACTACTTCGTATTATTATTATTATTATTATTATTAAGAAAAGGGTTTTCTCCCCACACCGGAGCTCGCGCTATTCCGCCGACGTTACTTGACACTTGACTGACTCACGACTGCCATCCAGAGCACACGAGAAGTCCATCGAACCTTCGACTCGGCAAACCTGCAAGAAAGCACCACTCCCTGCTCAATACACAGTGTTTCGGGGAATTCACCCCTCATCAGTTGAGCTTGAGTAGGCTGAGGAAGATTGTGCCTGAAGAGCACCACTTATATAGTGCTCTCCAGGCACAACCATCACCGGGGATACAAACTTACAGAGACGCTCATTATTATTATTATTATTATTATTATGAAGGCCATCATTTACATAATAATAATAAGATCTACATGAACGATCCATCATCCAGATCAATAAATACATCGAGGGCCACCAAGACCACATTGCCATTGCTCTCCTAAAACAGTACCATCATGAAAAAGCAAAATACTCTGTCTCCAGTGATGCTGCGAAATATTTGGCAAAGATTGGTATGGAGGAGTCAGCCACAAAGGAGCAAATACGCCAGGGATACCAGCGGCATCGGGAGGAGAAAATCAGAAAGAAGCCTCTGCATGGCCAATTTTGGCTTATGCTGCAGGTGGCTGAGCTGGATCGAGGGCTCTCCTTTGCGTGGTTGCGGTCTTCCGCTTTGCGTCCGGCGACAGAGAGTATTGTCATGGCCATACAGGACCAGGCTATCCCAACACGGAACTTACAAGAGATATTTAATCGAGGAACAGGTGTGTCAACGAAAACGAGTTGCAGGATGTGTGGCAGGGACAAGGAAACGGTTTTCCACCTTATTGGAGCGTGTACAGCTTGTGCGGGGAGTCACTATATCAATCGCCACAACAGGTTAGCAAAATATCTCCACTGGACATTGTGCAGGAAGTATGGTGCATCGGACATTTCGAATAAGTACACAAGTCACCAACTCACCAACGTCGTGTACAGTGCTGAAACGGATGTCTCAATCTACTGGGAAGTGCCAATTCCAACAGCAGCGCCCGTTGGAGCAAACAGACCCGACATTATTATCAAGGGCAAAGATGAAGCGTTCCTTGTGGACGTAAGTGTCCCTCTGGATAGGAACATCCGCCGAAAATCTGTGGAAAAGATACAGAAATATCAAGGCCTGAAGCGTGAGGTGGAGCAGATGTGGCAGGTGCGGGCCAAGATCGTGCCAGTAATTGTGGGGGCATTAGGTGGATTAACCCCCTCGACTGCTGACTTTGTGAGGGAACTGGATGCCGGAGCCAGTGTATCGATCTTGCAAAAGGAGGCGCTCCTTGGCACAGTTGACATCATCAGGTCAATAACTCAGATGAAATAATAATTACACTCTAATAAGTTACATTGGTTTGCAAATGTTGAAGCACCTATTTGCAGAAAATAATTATGATCGTAATATTAATCACTTGCCAATAACAAAGACAACAATAATACCATCAGCCCCCATTCACCGGTTTTGACGGTGCTTCACTGATGTTGAATGAGAAGAATTATATTGCTGCCTTCAGTGCTATTGTGTCGCTGAAGGGCTCGATTTCAGATTTGATGACGGTTACTTTTCAACGGATTTTGTTTGCTGATTTAGCTCTCTTGCTATTACTGTACCTGCTTGTGTTAAGTCTCATTCTCGCAGATTAGTTGTATAATAGATTGTACATGCATCATTGTAGATTTGCTGTTCACATTATTTCTCTCTTTTTTCTTTCTTTTTTCTCAGTCTTCCTTATTATATTTTCTTCACATACAACAGCAGTACTCCCCATGGTCTTAAATGACCCGGGATGCTGCATAATACACACACAAAACCAATAAAGCCACCCCCATAATAATAATAATAATAATATCTTTATTAGGATGACCCAGAGGCTTGTCGCCTATCAAGGGGTTCACCGCTTTGAAGGATGTACATGTACATGTACATGTACATGTATGAGCTAAAGTGAAAGTAGTGAAAAGTTATGCAGCGTGAATGCGTTGGGGAGCACACAGGGGGGGGGGGGGGGGGGGGGGAGGGTGGTGTGGTTATGTACATGGCGTAGGCATACCGCCCCCCGGAGAGCGAAGCACTATGTTTGCAAGTGAGTTTGCGAAGCTCATTCTTGAAAACAATAATGGATGGTTCTGCAGTTCTGCCACCAACGCATATGGCCGATTGGTTTGCAGGCCTGCCTGCGAATCATGAGGTCCCGAGTTCAAGACCCGCGCTGGTAGCAGGGAGCGTGTAAAAAGACTTTTTACGCGTGTTGAACTGCGCCGACACCCACGGTCAACTGGGTACTCACAGCTCGGAGTGAGAATAACAAGGATGCAGTTTACAGGGTTATGGGCCGTTACACGCCCGATTGGTTGAGAGACTAACCTCCTCTCCCCTGACTCACTTGTGAGGTCTGCATTCGCCACTAAGGTTAACAGGCATAGTGGTGGCCTGCGGATGCGAAGGCTAGTTTGTGTGTTTCTGAACATTCAAGCGATGCCGACGCGGATCCCGCGAATATTATTATTATATTCTGCAGTTAGTCTTGGTGGGAGGCAGTTCCATAAGAGGCATATTATAGGGCATTCCATTGATTGGTGACAGAAAAAACAAAAGAAATTATAGCAATAAAAACTGCTTTATGGCAGCTTTCTAAAAAAAGTTATTGTGTTCTAGTCCTGGGTCCGGCATAGGCTATTGAAAATTTATAAAATTGCTTCCAAACTGGCTTGGACTCCGTTTAAAAAGTAAGAAATTAACGAAATGTGATTGCCGAAAATTAAAATTTCACACAAAACCTCACAATAATCACACACAGGATGAAAAGCTAGAAGACCTTTTCCCTTCGTGATCCTCTTTCCCATGCATGCATGCATGTTGGTGCAGTACAAGTACAAGACTTAGTACAGTGTCAGACTAAACAAGTGTTGAAAGCAGTATTTGATTGTCAAGTGTTGTGATTATTGTGAGGTTTTGTGTGAAATTTTAATTTTCGGCAATCACATTTCGTTAATTTCTTACTTTTTAAACGGAGTCCAAGCCAGTTTGGAAGCAATTTTATAAATTTTCAATAGCCTATGCTGGACCCAGGACTATTTGTAGAACACAATAACTTTTTTTAGAAAGCTGCCATAAAGCAGTTTTTATTGCTATAATCTGTGATCTGTTGCCGCCAATATCCTTTTGGCTCCATTATCCTAACCGCCAGTTTCGACTGGAATCCTGGCTGTGGCGGGACAGTGTCTATAGACCTAAGGCCGCAACCACACTACGTAAAAATCACAGTACAAATTTTCATGCATATCTCAGTGCAAGTCGGTACGCAACCACACTACACTTTTCGGTCTGCATAGATGACGTTTTCATGTGACCAGCACGTGACGTTGTCGTACCAAAGCGTGTGCCATGCGCTGGAAAAGACCGGGAAATTCAAAAACAATGCTGGTGCTGAATCTGCTGATGCTATGTACGATGACTCGGTACAAAATTTAAGTTGTACACAGGAGAAGGAGCGCGAAAACGACGAAAACGACAAACGTGGCTTTCTACAGGGGTGCGCCAGTTGCTGAAAACCTACAAAGCGCATTTTGCATTTCGCACGCGTCGGCTTAGGCCGCAACCACACTACGTAAAAATCACAGTACAAATTTTCATGCATATCTCAGTGCAAGTCAGTACGCAACCACACTACACTTTTCGGTCTGCATAGATGACGTTTTCACGCGACCAGCACGTGACGTTGTCGTACCAAAGCGTGTGCCATGCGCTGGAAAAGACCGGGAAATTCAAAAACAATGCTGGTGCTGATGCTATGTACGATGACCCGGTACAAAAGCAAAGTTGTACACAGGAGAAGGAGCGCGAAAACGACGAAAACGACAAACGTGGCTTTCTACAGGGGTGCGCCAGTTGCTGAAAACCTACAAAGCGCATTTTGCATTTCGCCCGCGTCGGCATGACGATTTCTACTGTAATGCCGTTTGTACGTGATTTTGTACCTAGTGTGGTTGCAGCCTTAGGCTGCGACCACACTAGGTACAAAATCACGTACAAACGGCATTACAGTAGAAATCGTCATGCCGACGCGTGCGAAATGCAAAATGCGCTTTGTAGGTTTTCAGCAACTGGCGCACCCCTGTAGAAAGCCACGTTTGTCGTTTTCGTCGTTTCCCGCTCCTTCTCCTGCGTACAACTTTGCTTTTGTACCGGGTCATCGTACATAGCATCAGCACCAGCATTGTTTTTGATTTTCCCGGTCTTTTCCAGCGCATTTCACACCCTTTGGTACGACAACGTCACGTGCTGGTCGCGTGAAAACGTCATCTATGCAGACCGAAAAGTGTAGTGTGGTTGCGTACCGACTTGTACTGAGATATGCATGACAATTATTTTGTACTGTGATTTTTACGTAGTGTGGTTGCGGCCTTATTCGATAAACGTCACAATCACGTGAACCGGGGTCCCGGTAACCAGGGAGTGGCAAGAGACCTGCACTTACCTGCACAGAGGACTCGGCGTGGGAAAATAGGAGTAGAAAAATACAAAAATACTGGTATTTTACTACTCCCTTGTACGAACTGGGCCTTTCTTGCCACTCGTTTCACGTACGCGTGCCCCAGCTTACGATAAATCCCTGGAGGCGAGTCCAAAGATCACGTTATCGAATAAGGTCTATAGTCGACAACGTTATAAAGACGTGTGTTGACCAGTCTGTCTTTACCTTGGCGATCGTGTTGTAACGGAGCGTCTCAATCTCTGGAATCGTGCCGGCGAGAAGGAGTAGAACAAGCTATGGGTTTCGACAGTTCAGTAAGTTTTATAATCAATTGTACTGTTTTGATGTACTGTTGTGAGGCGTTTTGTTGTTGTTGTTGTTGTTGTTGTTCTTTTATTTGAATTCGCAATACCAAACGGGCAATAAGCCCAATTCCATTGAAGCGAATAAAATAATGCTAAGAATAAGGCATTTTGTATGGTCCGTATTTAAAGTTGTCGGCCATTTCTGTCGAGGCACAACTCTGTAGGAAGCTAGGCATACGGGCTTGAAGATTCATGGGTGTATGGTGTTCTGTATGTACTAGTACTTCATGAAAGCAAACAGTAGCCGACTTTCACAAAGCAGCGCGAACATTGAAATTGGATTTCATTGCTAAATGTGTGCTTCGGCTGGAAGGCACATGTACTGAACATGAAATTAGGGCGATAGTTAATTAGCAACCAAATTCTTCATGTTGATGCATCCTGGCAAATAGACATGTCAACGGTAGCATAAAAAGGAATACCGTAAAGTACCGTTGATCCGCCGCCTCTCTAATTCCCGCCCCCTGTCGATTTTCTCCTTGTGAAGCGACTTCGGTGTATACAACGAAATACGATGTTGAACCGAATCAAAATCAAAATGTGCACAATCCAGCACATTGAGTCTGATCCTCTACGTTGTTGTACATCGTACTGCACTTGACAGCCTTGATCTAATTCCCGCCCACCTGCCGAAAACCCAGCTGGGAAGCGACATGGCGTGGGGGCGGATCAACGGTACTTTACGGTATTAATATAGTATTAGATATCCTTAGCTAAAAAAACGCTAACGTAAACGCAAACCTTTCCGTACTTCGGATCGTTCAAGCTGACTTTTCCCTTAGCACAAAGTACGTTATAGTTGAGACGAAGTAGTCGTGGCAACCATGGCGATATGAATTTTCGTGGAAACAGGTGCGGGAAATTCAAAATTTTGAACCAGGGATTAGTATGCTGTCGTTCCGAAAGAATACCTTGGCGAGGTCTTTTACTCTGGAATAGCAAAAGCACGGCGAAAATGAGTTTTCGCTGTTCCCAGGTCCTTGGAAACCCTTTCCTAAACGCAGCACCGAAGACTGTAAGGGTTCTCCAGCTCCAGCACGTCTGGGAGAGGCCGATGAATTTCTTCCTCAGGAGTGCCGTGGAACTGGCCCTTTGTTTCCCAGATGGGATAGAGGGAGAAAGGCACGAAGCAGAGAACGCAGACATTGTCAACTGAAAGGCAAAACTCGCCAAAAATAAATGTCACAAGAGGAAGCAATCTCTCGACTCTCATCTCGATCTGCACGACGCTTTTTATCTCCCGCCAGTTACAAAACAATGCGAGTTTTTGCATTTTTTGCAGAATTTCAATAACGAACGTCGGCCCGTTATTTTGAGCTCTGTAACGTTTTTCCGTTATCCGATAACGTCTTTTGTCACGGCTGGGAGTGAGTACCGTAAAAGTTAGCGTTATCGTACTTTTGCTAAGGATGTCTAATGTAGTGTGTTGCCCTTTGAGCCTTGGCCTGTAGTTATGGATGTAGCATTCTTTTCACATGTCGTATCTATTTCCCCTCAGTCTAGTATCCTTCTCTCTGATCACCATATTCTAATGGTCTTTGGGGGAGTTGAAAACAATGACCGCCATGGCTGTTGACACGCTCGTAACGTTAAATTTTACATGTATGCAATGCAGTCCTGTTGCATTTGGAATCTGCCTGCGTCAAGTTACACCCTAGTACCCTACACCCTATAGCTATGCTGTAGCTGTACTAAATCTTGTAAAACGTATAGGATTAAGGTGCGCAAATTACATTTTCCTGCAAAGTTAACTGCTATGCTTATGGCACTGGCACTGGCATCTCCAGCAGATTATCAGCAATTATTTATTTTACATGTACAGTACTATGCAGTCAGTATTCTAAGACTCCTCTTGATTTGACTTTCCGTTGACCTCAATTGTTTAGCTCATAATACCCCCCTCCCCCACCCCGGGATGTTATGGCAACTGCAGTACATGTACATATTTAGGCAAAACTACCGAGGAGTATGTGTTGAATCTTTGCCAATGGTGCTGATTGAGCTCAATGAATTCTTTTACCCTGCATACCTCGCATGAAAATCTATGGACTACAAGAGAGTGCCTGGTACATGGCGGCAGGGCCTATCGAGTAGTCATCATGATCATATTCTAAGTCCGACACTTCGATAGAAGACCTCTATTGTTTTCACCCTGAACGACACTCTGTTGAGTTTTTTCCTGAATGACGACGCTGTACTGTGTTGCTACCTTTGCTCTCATTCTTTCTCTGTGCAGTTGCGTTTGGCCATCATGGCCATCATGTGCCTTGCACTTGCAACGCCATCTCAGGGCTGCTGTGATATTCGCCAGGGTGTAATGGATCGCCCCAGTAAGTACATGTACTGCCAACACTACATAGCCAGGTTTGTGTTTCTTACAGTCACACCTCGCTTATCCGCACACATCCGTTTTCCACAAAAAGTATCCGGATAAGCGAACACACATACTGTATGTAATGACTGTATACATTACATCAAGAGTCCATAACCCAAGAGTATGCAACTGTGATCTCTTTTCTATGGGCCAACCGCGCGGCGCGCTGCCTTCATTACATCATTCAGCTGCAGTCCGCGCACTGCGGAAAATCAAACACCGCACTTTCCCTCTACTGAGGCTCTAGTTTGAAATGAACTTTCGTACGGAACTGGAGTTCACGCGTCAGAATTCAGAGATTGTGTAGGTACTGGAACGAATCGAGCAAAAACGGATGGGCTCGTGCGAGAAATTGAGAGTTTGAATGCATGCTTTCAGAGCGTGATGGAGGCAAGTTACGTAATGAAGGCAGCGCGCCACGCATGCACTCATAATCACAGTTGCATACTCTTGGGTTATGCACTCTTGATTACATACATTGTACATATGTAGGCTGTAAATCGGTAAAAACACGATTTTCTTCAGGATGGCGCGGGACCCAAGCGAGATCTGAGAGTACATGTACTCTTGCTACTACAGTCAATTTCAAAACTATAAACGCGTAGGGTTTTTGAAATATTTCAAATTTGGCTGGAACCTTTTGAGAATAGTTTTCGGAATATTGCTCAGGACCGCTCCACAATTACTCTCATATAGTTTCTAAACGATTGGATAACAGACGCCCAATTTGGAAAAATGTATGCACAAAGTGATCACACCTTTTATTTATTTTTATTTGAAAAGGTCATTGGGCCATTCATTTCTTTCATGGGCAAAACTTCACTTGAAAGCAAGCATAGATCTACAGCCTGTAACATTCTGAATAGACTTTTGTACCAGGGAGTGGTAACCATAGTTCTGAAATGGACTCTAGTACCAAGAGTCATGTACTCTTGGTAGTACCCATGCTAATGTGTAGTCCACACCACTCCATCCACCTCTTCTCTATTGTCAAAGCTCTCTATTCTTCTTGTATCACCAGTAAAATTATGCGTTCCTTTTTTTAAATAGCTAGCAGAGTAGCTGTACATGCAAATGACGCTACCGGTATATTTTTTCTGTTTTTTTAGACGAATGAAAAACCGTAAAATGTTTGGCACCTATATAAAAAAATGAAATCAGGGGATGGCCCACGTCTGGCACCAGGGAGCCGGAGTAGTACAATACCTTGTAGGTATTGTACTACTCCCAATTGTACTACTCCCTGCCTGGCACTATGTCGGCATATATTACTGAAGTACTTGATTTCTGCGATTTTCTGTTTTCTGCCAGGGCTGTGTCCTGGCTTCAATGTCAACTTTGGCTCCGTTGCGGACAGCCGCAAGACAGCGGGATTGGCTTGGTCAGTGGATTACGGCGTGAAGCCAACATGCAAGTCAGGCCACGCCGCAATGGGTAATGTTTCATGTTTGGCCGACGGATCCTGGTCTTTCCCGTCCGGTATGGATCAAGCGCAGTTCGTCTCGTCCGCTTGTTCCGTCCGAGGTAAGTATCTAGGCTGGGTGTACCAACAGTATAGTGTCCAAGACGTGGTGATTGACATCCAGTCTTGATCACAGGGTTGGTAGTGTAATGTGCACTGTATGATGTAGTTTCACTGTGACCCTATGTATCCTTGTCTGCTCTCTCGCTCTCTCTCTTTCTCTTTCTCTCTTTCTCTCCCTTTCTCTCGCGCGTTGACATATCCTGATGTGCTTTATTCCTGTCCATTTCTACCGTTTCCCACAGTACTCTGCCCTGGTTTCAAGATCAGTCATGGCTCTGTACCAGACTCCCGCAAGCCAGATGCTATGCCCTCTTCTACCATATACGCTGTGAGGCCAACGTGCGATTCAGGTTATGATGTGAGCCACAAAGCTACTTGTTCAGGCGATGGATCTTGGTCTTACCCGGCTGGGATGGACAAACCTACGTTTATGTCCACCGCTTGCTCCGCCGCCGCCAGAGGCAAGTACCTGGATTGGGGTTCAAAGGTCAACCTTTATACAGGAGCTACACACTCTGTCTCTCTATGTCTCTCTCTCTCTCTCTGATTCTCTCTCTCTCTCTCGAACGGTTTCGGCGACCCTCACCTTCCCGTGGTGAATCCGTCAGGAGACTAGGCCTCGGTCTAGACCTGCCAAGCGATAGTGCGGGTTCGAATCATAGGTTATGTCTTAAAAAAGGATTTTTTTAAAGAATTTATAACATCCCTATGCTTTTTTTTGTCTAGGTCATCAAGGCAAAACAGCATAGCGTATAGTAGGGCCCTGAGCTTCCAAGCTCTCTCGTTAGGATGACCCAAAGGCTGACCTATCAGGATGACCCAAAGGCTGACTGACCGCCTATCGTGAAATTGCCCCCAGGTGCGCTTCAAAATACTCTTGGCAACAGTTACAAAATAGCAATGAGAGGAGCGCTGAAATCATGATATCGGGGCAGCAATAGTTACCTGGGTGTGGGAGAAAGAATGGTGACAGGTGAGA